CCGACTCTTCCCCCATAGTTCTTAAAAAGCAAAGAACCTTAGGGACTCCAAGCATTGCCTTTGCAATATGAACACCTTGTTGGCTTGATTGTTTCTTTTAACTCCTCCTTGTCTGTTTAAAAATATAAATTCATTTTTTAAAATTCCCTTAATTTTGGTTCAAAATGGCAACTATTTTTGAACTTTTTTCATTGAAGTATGCACTTTCAAATGTCACCTTCTACATTTTTGCTGTATTCCAGCTTTAATCTCTCAATTACATCATATTTCTTCCTTCTCTTCTATTCTCTCCTAGAGTCACATTGATACTAATTAATAATTGAAAAATAAAAAGGGGGCTTATTTCTCAGCTGTTCACCTCACCTGAATGTCTCTTCTAATAGAGCAGGTAGTCTCAAAAGTGTCCAGAAGTATTTTTCTATAAGTCTCTTCAGAGGGCTCATGAACTCACTGCAGCCTTCTCTGGTTTAATACCCTTGAGCACCTCCAGTTTTATAAGATGGATATAGTCAGACATTCACCCATCACAAGCATTTCATGCCCTCCAGCAAACATGCAAACTAAAAACTTGCACAAGAACAATGCACAAATCTTGATGACCTTACTAGCCAATGAATTCAAGAAATTAACAGGTTTCTTCAGCTACACTATAACCCCAGGTGAATTTCCAAAGGTCTTTGCCCCACATTCAGGAAACATACAGAAGTCTAGGATGAAGGTGATCACATTTAGAGCCAGGGGGGGAAAAGAAATGGCCAGTACAAAAGGAAACACCCTTAGGTTTCATCAGATACAAGTGCATTTACAAGTTTACTATTATAAGTACAGCACACATGGAAGTTCGGAGATGTAGTGGGAAGAGAAGAATATTTGCTTCTGGTATGCAGTGCTGGCTATATAGTGAGAGTTTCAAGAAGTGAACGCCAAGCAGCCATATATCTTAATTTCTGAAGTAAATCATCAAGACATTAGGACTCAGCACTTTCCCATCGTGTAAGAGATAGGACACAACTTGAAGGAGAAATAAGACCTGATTTGGCAGCTGTAATTCAACACAACACAAACCTCAACTTCAACCACAGTTCACTTCACTTACTTGGTGAGTGGTGGTGGTTTTGGTTCACACATCTAGTGCAGAGTTAACCGCCCATACTATGAAAAAGTAACAGTATGGCAAAAAACACCAAAATGTTCCTGTCCACCATCTCCTCTCAGTTATGTAAAACCAAATGAGAAACTCAGATATAAGTTATTTTATATAACTCTGCTGACACGGCTGGATATACAGGGATCAATGCATTATGGTTGTAAGCCACTGGCTATGGTGCATTGCAAGTGTTCAGGGAAGAAAAGTGGGAATTCCCAGAGGCTCTGTACACAAGACAGGCACAATCATGCCTAGGAGATCAGGATGAATATGACCACCATTGCACTCTTTGAAAGTGTTCAGCGTGTGCTACTCTTGGGTGACCAACAGTGCCACTGGACCAAGGGGAAACCTACCCCTTTCTGTCCCTTTATGGGGAGGATAGCATCACCTTGACCCTTAGGGTGTGTCTACACTACAGGGTTTAAAAAAAAAAAGTGGCCTTTTTTCGAAAAAACTTCCACCGTGTCTAGACTGCCACCACGTTCTTTAGAAATTAAATCGAAAGTAGGCAGTAGGTTTTTCGACAGCAGTAAACCTCATTTTACAAGGAAGAATGCCTTTTTTTGAACGTGCTCTTTCAAAAAAAGGCATTCTTGAATGCAAACACGGCTTTTTTCAAAAGAGAGCATCCAGACTGCCGGTGTGCTCTCTTTCGAAAAAGTGGCTCGCTTTTTCGAAAGAAGTGGTTGCAGTCTAGATGCTCTCGTTCAAAAGAGGCTTGTGGTCTAGACGTAGCCTCAGGGCCCTTGACTGTGATGGCCTCCATGTCTGAGCCAGGACACTGAGGGTACGTCTACACTGCATCCCTAGTTTGAACTAGGGATGCAAATGGAGACAATGGAAGTAGTTAATGAAGCGGGGATTTAAATATCCCGCGCTCCATTAACATGATCTCGCCGGCGCGCTAGTTCGAATCACAGCTGACTCGAACCAGGAAGTGCGCGCCGGGACGCGTTAGTTTGGACTAAAGCCCTTAGTCCGAACTAATGTTCCTCCTCATTTTTTGAGGAGGAACGTTAGTTCGGACTAAGGGCTTTAGTCCGAACTAACGCGTCCCAGCGCGCACTTCCTGGTTCGAGTCAGCTGTGATTCGAACTAGCGCGCCGGCGAGATCATGTTAATGGAGCGCGAGATATTTAAATCCCCGCTTCATTAACTACTTCCGTTGTCTCCATTTGCATCCCTAGTTCAAACTAGGGATGCAGTGTAGACGTACCCAGAGTGAGTTGAATATGAATGATCCTTGCACTTACTAAACCAGCCCTGAAGAAAAAGTGTGTGTTCTGTTGCACTGGAAATACTGCAGATACCTGCCATGACTGCAAGTAAGGCTTGAATTTCACTCCTCACAACGAGATACTGCCATACTTTGTGTATCACTGTAACCTTGACGCACACCTCTGACATTTGATGGAACATATTCCCCCCATTTGTAGATACTAGATACATTGGAAAGGATCACTTACTACTTCTTTCTGCTCATTACCAAGATTCATTACATGCATATTTGGGTTGTTGTTGTTTTTCCTGGACCATTATTTGAGAAAGGGAGGAGAGAATTTTGAATGATGTAGTGATTGAGTGGCTTTCATTGTGTTCCCTCAAGATAACAAAAAAAGGAGTAAAAACCCTTTGTGTATTCTTGCCCTGTGTCATTCAGGAAGAGAACTCTGGTGAATGCAAAATGCTTACATAAGCACTTAATAAGACAGTCACTTGAAAGGATGATTTTTGCCATGTTTGAACACAGATTGTCCCACATCAAATTAAATATTTCCCTGATCCCAACTAAAACTTGGAACAAAATACACCAATTGTAAATTGACTTTTCTTTTTTTGGGTCTTCATTCGAAAAGCAACACCCACGGATTTCAGGAACAGTGCGTTTGGTCCTTTTTGTTTCCATGACAGCTTTTAAACTTTTAAAACAGTATGCTGTGACTGGTACAAAATATAATCTCTCCACTGTTGCCTTTCTTCCTTGTCCTCCAAACCCGCAACCAGTCTATCTTCATTTCCTGTCTCCTATCATATGCATAGACTACAATGTCTCTGCTGCAGAGACTTTTTTTATTATTATTACATACATTTACAGCATCTAGTACATTGGGTAACTGAATCCCTGGAGGATCTCTAATCCCTACTGTAACACAATGATAGTGGTAATATTTTGAAAAGTGTCTCTGGTGCTCTGGGTTAAGCATAAACCCAAGTTGTTAAGTTCAGGCCTTGGTTCAAACTTCAAAGTGGGAGGGTGTACAGGCTGGACCTCTCTGATCTGGCACTGTCAGGACCTGACTGGTCCTGAACAAGATAATTA